GACCCTACGTGTTCAGGTCACAGGACCTGAAAACACCAGAAAACGACTGCCCCCGAGGCGGTGAGCTGAGGAGAACCATGCCAAACTCAGGAATATTTTCCACACGCTCAGCCCCACACGATAAAATCTACTTGTGTTGGCATCCGAGTGCTGGCAGGGTGGAGGCCCGTGGCCCCGAGCCACACGACACAGCCCAGGTGGGACCTGCTGCTCGGCCCAGGCACCCAGCGCCCACTACCCACCTCCTTAACAGGTTTCTGCTCTCAGGTGTCACAACGGGCGCGTCAGCCGGGCCCCAAGTGGACTTTCCGACGGGCACCACGTCCTGGACGGAGCTCGGGCGTCACCAACAAACCACCAGAGCCGGTCTATGTCCACACGTGATCTCTGTGCCACCCCCCACCCCCCCCACCTTCCAAAGGGCTCGCCTGCCTGTGATCTTTCCCACGTTAAAAAAAATAGTTTCCCTCGGGCTCCTGGGTGGCTCAGTCTGTTAATCGCCCAGCTCTTGATTTCGGCTCAGGTCACGATCTCATGGTTCATGGGCTCGAGCCCAGCATCAGGCTCCGCAGCTGGCAGTGCAATCTGCTTGGGATCCTCTGTCTCCCTCTCCCTCTGCACACCCCCTCCCTCCCCCGCTCACGCGCACTCTGCCCTCAGACTCCCCAACAACCACGGGTGACCCACTCTCGGAGTCTCACTGTCCCTCGGCCCCCAGCCGGCTCTCTCCCAAATCTCCCCTAACAGCCACCAAAACCCCCCACAGGTCAGGGGCTCTGCCACACCCACTCCCCTGCCAGGAATGCGCTTCAGCTCATGATGGGAGCAGGAGTCCCCACACCCACCCTCTCCTGCACCTCCCTCCTCTTGAACTCTGTTCCGTGTTTGTCTGTGTTAATCTGATCATCCCTAGACCACAGGAGCCACACTGGCTCTCCAGGGCCTGGCACACATTAGGTGCTTGATAAAAGAAACAACTCTCCCAGGGCTGCCTGGGTGGCTCAGTTGGTTAAGCGTCCCTGGATTTCGGCTCAGGTCATGATCTCACAGTTGGTGAGATGGAGCCCTGTGTCCGGCTGTGCGCTGACAGTGGGTAAGCCTGCTTGGGATTCTGTCTCTCCTCTGCCCCTCCCCCACTAGTTCTCCGTCTCAAAATAAATAAACCTAAAAAAAAAAAAAAGAATAAACACTCCTTTGTTTCTGAGCCAGTGTTTCTTTTTCTTTTTTTTTTTTTTTTTAATGTTTATTTATTATTGAGAGACAGAAAGACAGAGCGTGAGCAGGGGAGGGGCAGAGAGGGGGAGACACAGAATCCGCAGCAGGCTCCAGGCTCCGAGCCGTCAGCACAGAGCCCGACGCGGGGGCTCAAACCCACGAACCGTGAGATCATGACCTGAGCCGAAGTCGGTTTGCGTAACCGACTGAGCCACCCAGGCACCCCAGTGAGCCAGTGTTTCTAAAAGTATGTTAGCAAGTGACTATCCCCAGAGTTACCGAAGCCCTTGGATACTAACCAGCTTCGAGCAGCACCTAACTTTTCTGGAACAGTCTCTGTCACTGGAGAATCCAGTGCAACAGCTCAAACGGCTTGAGCTGGCCCATCCTTTTCTCACTGTGAAGTCTGGGAGAAAAACAGAAGACCAAACACCCAGACGCTGCCTGGTACGGGGCCATCTCTCTATTTCCTTGTTTGCAATCGCCTATTTAAAAGTCCCTGCGATATCCTGTATTTAACTAGGCAAAATACCTTTTAAAACTTTATCAGGCCTAGACCACTTCATGCCATATACTCCCCAACAAGGTAAACAACAGAAAGGTTGCTCAATCTTATTTCACCGAGTTTCACTCTTTTCTGGCACCCCTGAGTGATCTGTCCACCAGTCATTCTTAGCCCACACAGGCTACCTTTCCCACACCCACAGGTCCGCAATGCCCACAAATGCAGGGTCACTTGCCACCAAGTGCCGTGTTCCATAAGGCACGGCTTAAGGCCCTAACCCCGCAGGCACACGCGTGTCCAAGGCAGATTAAAAATGTGCACGTTCCTCCGAGACTGACATCTGGAATGATTAAAGAAAAGTATTTGGTAGCACCCGGGGGGGCTCAGCTGGTTAAGCGTCTGACTTCGGCTCGGGTCACAATCTCACGGTTTGTGAGTCTGAGCCCCGCGTTGGGCTCCCTGCTGTCAGCACAAACCCCGCTTTGGATCCTCTGTCCCCCTCTCTCTCTGACCCTGCCCCCCCCATCAAAAATAAATAAACATTGGGGGGGAAAAAAAAAAGCAAGCATTTGCTGCTTGAAGGATCCCATCGGGTTATCAGTCATAAAGCTTCAAACAATGCAAACACCGCCTTTCTAAAACGTCCAGAGTAAGGTCCCAATCACAGAATTTTAAACCTCGTTCAAAAACCGTCGCATAGACAACGAACATTTTGTACCGCTGGATATCATCCAAGAACGGCAGGTACTTGTACGTGACCGTTTCAGAAGTCAAAAACATTTTCCGGGGGCGCCTGGGCGGCTCAGTCGGTTGAGCGGCCGACTTCGGCTCAGGTCACGATCTGGCGGTCCATGAGTTCGAGCCCCGCGTCGGGCTCTGTGCCGACAGCTCGGAGCCTGGAGCCTGTTTCGGATTCTGTGTCTCCCTCTCTCTCTGCCCCTCCCCTGTTCATGCTCTGTCTCTCTCTGTCTCGCCCAGCTCGGGCACCGCCCCCAGGTGCACCTTCCCCGGCAGGCCCCTCTGCTGGAGGCCCCCAGCCCTTCCTGGCCTGCTTCCCACAAAACCCTACTGCCTGCCTGGTCCGTCCAGCCCCTCCAGGGCAGTCATAATGCATCAGAGGCTTTAGGGCATGGCTGTAAATCAGGAAAGCCAGTAACACTTCAGTGAAAACGGCGCGTCAGTGCGAAACAACAGCTTTCCCCATTGTTCCTTCACAAAACCTAAGAATCCACCTTGGCTCAGTCGGAAGGACTGATCTTTCGGTGCCGTGCTGTTTCTACACAAAGCTGTGCTGTTTTGGAATTACAGGTTTTCCAGTTTCCAGTCATTGGCTTCCCCGGGGAGCTTTAAAAGAGCCGTCAAACGGCCTGAGGTGGTAGATCATCCCGAGGTGATCTATATTCAAACCATCCAGAACCAGAGCGGGGGATCAGGCACGGGAATATTCGGTTTCGCAAGTAATTCTTTGAGAATTTCCTCTGAGGCAAGAGGCAGAACACGACTCACCTCCCAGATACCAGAGGAGTAAGTGTCAGTCTAAGTGCGAGAGTTTATAAAACTGCTCAATGTCCGATCAGAATCTAGTTAAAGGTAAACACTGGTTTCCAGGAGGGGGAATCAAGACTTGAGGCCCAGGGCCCGAGTGGCACAGCGTTATGTCGCCACAGGATCAGAGCCCAGCACTGGGTCCCTGAGACGGTCATTGCGGAGCACAGATCCCCAACCCACCTTCGACTGTGGTCCCCACTACAGGCCCTCCACGCAGGCAAGCCAGCGCTCAGTAACTACCCTCTTGTGAATGAAATCCATCCCAAGCCCTGTTATCCGGCTGACGCGGTGGGGGGAAGGGGGCACATTCCTGATGCTTCAGACACACAAAACATCCACCCTTCCACACACACCGCTCCCACCAAAGCCCCGTGTGTCCCCTGTAAAATCGAAACCCTAGGATGTTGCCAACTCGCTTTCATACAGGCTCTCTCCACTCTGCTTCATCCCGCAGGTAAAGTTGTATAAGAAAAAACAAAACCGAGCGAAGGGGCATTCAGGAAAAGAGCCCTTTTTTTTTTTAATTGGCCATTACTTGGAATATCCATCACCCTGGTTAACAGTTTTCCCTGAGGGCCTATTTATTCCTCGCTCTCTGCCCAGATTCGTATTCTCTGCCTGTAATTCACAACTTCACAGAACGTGAAATAGCCACTTGCGGATGGGCTATACGGCCAAAATTCATGTTGATGGGCTGCACCACCTTTCCCAACTGGATCTGTAGGCTCTAGACCTTATAAGCAAACCACAGAAACTGGAAACAACCGTTTGCCACCCAACCCTGATGGCCAACTGTGAAGACAAAACAAATCGGAAAACTAACTTTTTAATGCTGGCAGGGCTCCCACAGTGATCCTGGATCGTAATGATTTATTGTTGAAATAAGTCAACCGAAACGTTGACTTCAAACGACCCATGGATCCAAGCCTTTCCTGGTGACAGTTTGGTCTCATCCTTAAGGTCACCTGGCCGTGCCAGCCGACCACGTCTCTAGGCGTAGGTCCCTTTGAGAAGCCGCCGTGTCCCCCGGTTCCCACACCCTCTATCTGTCCCCCTCTCCCTGGCCCTGCGGGTCCTGCCTGGCGCACGGGGGTCAACAGCACAGAGGACTACATCTCTGCCGCCAACCAAGCACGTGCCCGGCTGAGCCGAGACCGTCTAAGTCTTCGGCGCGCCTCCAGCCCCACAGAGGGCCAGCTGGGTTCCCATACCGGCTCCGCCGCCGAAGCGGGCAGGCCTCTAAGTAACACCCAAATTACAAGTCCGCGTCCAGGAGCAGAAGCCAAGATCAAACGAGGCTACGCTTTTCAAAGAGCTCCCAGACAGACAAGCACACATGAGCCGGATTGTTATTATCTGGAGGAGACAGAAAAGAGACACCAAGGGAGCGAACTCCAGCCATATTACAGGGTGACTCAGGGAACCATCCAGCAATTTCCATCCAGCGCACGGGGCGGGCAGTGACCTTTGATCTTCCCAGACAGGGGGAGGGATGGCTGACTGCCGAGCATCTCCAAGCACACCAGACAACCACTCAGTTAACCCTGGAGACCAGGTTTTAATAGCACAATCAGGAGCCACAGCCCGCTGAGCAAAGGGCCAAAAAGCCCTGGTGTTGAACTTGAAGCACCCCAGGCCTGCTCCCAGCAAAAATGCTGTGGGAAGCGGCGTGGGTACCCCTCCCACTCCCTTGGCCTAAGTGGGGAGCACGCCCCCAGCCCGAGGCACCAACCTTCCAACTGGAGGCCACAAATCCCCAAAGAGCTGCCCGGGCCCTGCCCAAATGCGCCCCGGCATGCCGGGCGGGCCCCTGGCAGGTCCCCGCGGCTCGTGGCCCTCCAGGCGGCCTGGCGGGAGCCCTGCCGGCCACTCACCGGAAACAGACACCTCCATGAGCGCCTCCAGCGGCCGGTTGTTGTCCAGGTCCCGGCTCAGCTGCAACTCGCCGGTGGCAGGGTCCAACAGCAGCAGCCGAAGCTCATTGCCCTGCAAGAAGGTGTAGTTGAGGCTGTCGGAGAGGTCGGGGTCGTGGGCTGGGATGCGGCCGATCACGCCGGTGGGGAAGCTGTTGGACTTATTGGTGACGTAGTTGTTGAAGAGGATGTGGAAGTCGGGCAGCACCGGCGGGTTGTCATTCTGGTCCAGGAGGCGGATGTGCACGGTGGCCCGGCTCACGAGCGGGGCGGACGTGGCCTGCACCACCAGCACGTACTCCCGCCGGACCTCGAAGTCCAGCTCGACCAGAGCACGCAGGTCCCCGCTCAGCAGGTCCAGCTGGAAGACCTCGGGCACGTTGCCCTCCACGATCTGATACATGATCTGGGCGTTGGGGCCTTCGTCGGGGTCGTTGGCACGGATCCTTGCCACCACAGAGCCCACCGGGCTGTTCTCCTCCACGAACAGCTCCAGCTCGTCCCTCTCAAACACCGGGGGGTTGTCGTTAATGTCCAAGACGCTCACCTGGACTTCCACCGAGGCGCTAAGCGGGGTTGGGCTCCCCCGGTCCACGGCCAGGGCCCGAAGGTTGTACACGGCCACGTTCTCCCGGTCCAGCCGGCGCTGGGTTCGGATCACGCCGGACGTGGGCTCGATGTAGAAGTCGCCGTCACCATCGTCCCCACCCTGGAAGGTGTACAGCAGGCGGCCGTTGGGGCCCGAGTCCCGATCCGTGGCAGACACCTGGAGGACGCTGGTGGACGGTGGCACGTCCTCAAAGACGGAACCCTGGTAGAAATCCCGCAGGAAGCGGGGTGCGTTGTCGTTGGCGTCGAGGATGAGGATCTCCAGGGAGGTGGTGTCAGACTTTTGGGGGATGCCGTTGTCCCGAGCGGTGATGGCCAGCGTGTAGGCGGCCTGGTCCTCGTAGTCCAGCTCGGTCATGGTGTAGACGGTGCCCGTGTCCGGGTCGATGCGGAACTGCGGAACCGGGTCCTCCAGCACGTAGGTGATACGCGCATTCTCGCCCGTGTCCTCATCGGTGGCACCGATGACGGCAACGGAGGTGCCCACCGGCCGGTCCTCGCTGACGCTCACCGTGTAGTGTGAGCTCTGGAAGACCGGCCGGTGCGTGTTGGCGTCGGTGACGTTGATGAAGACCTGGGCGGTGTGCGAGCGCGTGCCGTCGGACGCGGCCACCGCCAGCACGTACTGCCGCTCCTGTTTGTAGTCCAGCGGCAGCGCCAGGGTGATGAGGCCGCCGCCGCTCTGGCTGCTGAGCGCGAAGCGGTTCCGAGTGTTGCCGCCCGTGAGCTGGTAGGTGATCACGCTGTTGGCGTCCCGGTCGCGGGCCCGCAGGGTCAGCACGCTGCTCCCCACGGCCGCGTCCTCGTTCAGACGCAGCTCGTACACCGGCTGCGTGAACATCGGGTCGTTGTCGTTGACGTCTAGCACCGTGATGGACACGCTGGCGGAGGAGCTCATGGGCGGGGAGCCATGGTCCACCGCCTCCACCCCGAAGCGGTAGTGTTCCACCTCCTCGCGGTCCAGCTCCGCGCACACCGTGATCCAGCCAGAGCTGTTGTGGATCTGGAAAGGGAAGTCCGCGGGCGCCGCGGGGTCTTGGGGCCCAGGCCCAGCACCGCCGCCCGCGGAGGCGGAAGCCGTGTCCACCAGGCGGTAGCGCAGACGCGCGTTCTCCCCCGCGTCCGCGTCCACGGCCTGGATGTGCAGCACCGAGTGGCCCAGAGGCACGTTCTCCAGCACGGCTGCCTGGAAGGGGCTGCTCACAAAGATGGGGGCGTTGTCGTTCACGTCCAGCACCTGCACCAAGACCAGCCCCGAGGAGTTGATGAGCGGAGGCCGGCCCCCATCCTGGGCCTTGATGCGAAGCGTGTACTCCCTGATGGCCTCAAAGTCCAGCGGGTTGATCACATCCAGGCTGCCGCTCAGCGAATGCAGGTAGAACTGCCCCTTCAGGTTGCCGCTGACGATGCTGTAGTGGATGGCCGCGTTCTGCCCCTGGTCCCGATCGCTGGCCTGCACGCGCAGCACGGGCGTGTTGACGGCCACGTCCTCGGGCACCTGGACCACGTAGCGCTTCTCGCTGAACTGGGGGTAGTTGTCATTCTCATCCTCCACCACGATGTGCACGGTGGCTGTGGCGCTGAGCGGGCCCGGGTTGCGGCCCTGGTCGTTGGCCTCCACCAGCAGCTGGTAGGCGGCCGCCTCCTCCCGGTCCACCGCCGCGCGTGTGCGCACCACGCCCGAGCGCGGGTCGATCTCAAACACGCCTCCCGCACCCTCCAGCAGGCGGTAGCGCATGTTGGCGTTGGAGGGCGCGTCGCCGTCGGTGGCGCGGATGGTCAGCACCTCGTAGCCCACCTCCAGATTCTCACGCACGCGCTCACGGTACTCGGACTGCTCGAAGACGGGGCTGTGGTCGTTGGTGTCGCTGACCGTGACGGTGAGATAGGTGGCGGCCGAGCGCCGCGGTGAGCCGTGGTCCACCGCGCTCACCTTGAGCACGTGCGTGTCCTTGGTCTCGCGGTCCAGTGCGCGGGCCGTGCTCACCGCGCCCGTGGCGGGGTCGATGAGAAAGTAGCCGTTGGAGCGCTCATCGAACAGCGCCTCCATCTGGTAGCTCAGGCGCCCCGCCTCGCCCTCGTCCGGGTCGTGCGCGCGCAGCTCGATGACCCCGGTGCCCGCTGGCTCGTTCTCGGGCACCGATACCTGGTAGCTAGGCAGCGGGAACTGCGGGGTCGTGCTGCCGCCAGCGCCC